AAAAAAAAAAAAAAAAAAAAAAAAAAAAAAAAAGATATACAATTGGAGATACAGTTCAAAGGCAACTAGAGAGACAATAAAACATGTTAGCACAGATTGCAGTTGGAAGAGATAAATGAAATTGTAAGATATATTAAATGAAAAGTCCTGGGGCTGGTGTTGTGGCATAGTGTGTAAAGCGGCCACCCGTGACACTGGGATTTCATATGGGCTCCAATTTGAGTCCTGGCTGCTCCATGCTAGTGTGCATGATAAAACATTGGAAGATGGCCCAAGTCCTTGCACCCTGCATACATGTGGGAGAACTAGCAGAAGCTTCTGGCTCTTGGCTTCAGCCTGGCCCAACCCTGGCCATTATAGCCATTTGAGGAGTAAGCCAGTGGATGGAAGATCTTTCTGTCTCTTCTTCTCTTTCTGTCTCTGTGCCTTTCAAATAAATAGAATAAGTCTTTAAAAATATATTTATTTATTTGAAAGAGAGAGAGAGATCTTCCATATGCTGGTTTACTCCCCCAAAGGCCAGAATGGCCAAAGCTGGCCAGGCTGAAGCCAAGAGCCTGGAACTCCACCCAGGTCTCCCACATGGATAATGGCAGCCCAGGTACTTGAGTCAGCTTCTTTTCCGGGTGCTTCAGCAGAGAACTGGATTGGAAGTAGAACAGTCAGGACTCAAACTGTGCTCATAGGTGATGTTAGTCAGTATTGCAGGTGGCAACTTAACTTACTATGCCATAACACCGGCCCCCCCAAAGTTGCCTTAATGAAATGTATATAGTGATTGCTTTCTAGTTTTTAAGAAAATGGAATTTAGGGGGCATAGATCGAAAAAAGATGAGAGAGAGCATTTCTTGGAGAATATCTGATTTTAGTAGTTCAAAACTGGGAAACAGGCAGCTGGGTATAGGGAATCTGTCAGACTTGCGACTTGTGTTTGGGAATGAATAATTCAGAAGATTCTTTCTTTTAATTTTTCTAAAACTGCCTTGAATAAACAATATAAATTTTTCTGTTGGCATGTAAATATAATTTGTTTTATCCTACAAATGTTTCTCCTAAACATCTCCTTGTCTTCTAACTTATCTTTTCATTACTCTTTGTGTTTGTAGCTTACTCCATTGTGTGAGTTTCCCAGTCATACTTTGCCCTCAGTTCTTTGTTCCATATGCTTAATTTCCCCTTCTCTTTTCAGTTTTGAAGGTCGTGTTTTTGAAATATCAAATATATGTGTGTTGATTGCTAGTTTTCCTTTCCCTTTTCCACTGTAGCAGGTGCTTTTCAGTTTTATTTTTTCGAAAACAAGAAGAGATACACATATGTAGGGATTTCACACCAAGGGCCTAGGCCTGAAAATAGAGAATCAGTGATAAAAATTAATCATATAAAAAATGTGTTAATATTTTTAAAAGCATATTTAATTTTTCTCATTTCTAGAAGTCCAGAAGTTAAATGACCTGATAAAGAGAAGCCAGGAAAACCTAGATAAACATTTGTGGTGTGCTTCACTCAACGCCTCGCTGGCTGAGAGAGAGAATGGTTTGGGGAAAACACTTAATCTGGACACAAACCCAGTTTCTTCAAGAAAAACACCTTGTCAGTATGACTCATCTGGAATGAATTTGAAATACATTTCAGGATCAAGTATTAACAATAAGAATTATTCAAGTAAGAACTCTGATGAAATTAGTGAATGTGGGGTGGTGTTGCCTCTTGATTATCAAGAAAAGACTCATCACAGGAAGAAGCCTGATGAATATTGTCAAAATGGGAAATCTCTATGTCATAATAGGGAACTTACTAAGCAACAGGGAGTTCAAGGTTTGGAACCATCTTTGGAAGATAATGAAAGTGCAGAAGCCTTCCCTGAGGAGGTGGCCAAAGCCACTAGTAGGATGATTCAAGGAGAGGAGACATCCTGTGGTTGTAAGAAACCTGCGGAGAATGCCTGTGAGAGGTCGACTCCCAAAGTCCAGCAGGATTCTCACACAAGGAAGAATCTCTCTGAAGTTAATGAATGGGAGAATTCAAACCTCCTTAGACATCAGAAAGTCAACATGGGGGAGAAAACCCATGAATCTAATGAAAATGAGAATGTTGTCAAGGAGTCAGACCTCACTCAGCCTCTTAGGACTGATACAAGAGAAAAAGCCTTTGAATGTAGTCATTGTGAAAAATCTTTTTGCCAGAAGTCTCTTCTCACTCAGCATCAGAGGACACACACAAGAGAGAAGCTGTGTGAAAGTGATAAATGTGAGAAAACCTCTCAGGAATCACAAATGAGTGATTCTCAGAGAAATCCACTAGGAAAAAAACCCAGAGGACATAAGGAATGTGTTAAAGCCCCTGTGAAGACAGTCCTCATGGATCACCAAAGAACACAGTCAGGAAAGAAGCATCACATATGTGATGAGTGTGAGAAACATTTCCGTCATAGCTCAGCCCTACGAGTCCACCAAAGAATTCACACAGGAGAGAAACCCTATCAGTGTAATGAGTGTGGAAAATCTTTCTATGCACAATCAAACTTCAATCACCATCAGAGAACTCACACAGGGGAGAAACCTTATGAATGTAAAGAATGTGGGAAATCCTTCTGTGTGAAATCAAACCTAACTAAACACCAAAAAACACACACAGGGGAAAAACCTTTCAAATGTAATGAGTGTGGGAAAACTTTCTTCCAGAGGTCACAGTTTGCTGACCATCAGAGAACACACACAGGGGAGAAACCTTATGAATGTAAGGAGTGTGGAAAATCCTTCTACTACAAGTCAGCCCTAAATGTGCATCAGGGGAAGCATAAAGAAGAGAAACCCCATAAATGCACCGAGTGTGGGAAATCCTTTTGCTATAAATCAGCCCTAATTATACATCAGGTAACTCACACAGGGAAAAAACCATATGACTGTAATGAATGTGGGAAATCTTTGTGTGTGAAGTTGAATCTCACTAAACATCAGAAAATTCACACAGGGGAAAAACCCTATGAATGTAGTGAGTGTGGCAAGTCGTTCTCTATGAAATCAGACCTTGTTGTGCATCAGAGGACTCACACAGGGGAGAAACCCTATGGATGCAATGAATGCGAGAAGTCTTTCTATAAGAAGTCAGCCCTCACCAAACATCAGAGGACTCACACAGGAGAGAAGCCACATGAATGTAATGAGTGTGGGAAGTCCTTCCATATGAAATCAACTCTAGTTATACATCAGAGAACTCACACTGGAGAGAAACCCTTTAAATGTAATGAATGTGAGAAGTCATTCTATGTGAAATCACTTCTCAATATTCATCAAAGAAATCACACTGGAAAGAAACCCCATGTTTGTAATGAGTGTGGAAAAGCTTTTTCTATGAAATCAAACCTCACTGATCATCAGAGAACACATTCAAAAGAGAAACCCTATGAATGTTTTGAATGTCATAAAACCTTTCGTCATAAATCAACCCTAACTGTACATCAGAGAACTCACACAGGTGAGAAGCCCTATAAATGTAATGAGTGTGGGAAATCCTTCTATATGAAGTCAGCCCTCAGTCAGCATCAAAGAATACACACAGGGGAGAAACCCTATGGATGTAAAGAATGTGGGAAGGCCTTCTTCCAGAAATCTCACCTCACCAAACATCAGCGAACACATACAGGTGAGAAGCCCTATGAATGTAAAGAATGCAAGAAAACCTTCTTCCAAAAGTCTCACCTCATTGAACATCAGAGAACACACACTGGGGAGAAACCCCATGAATGCACGAAGTGTGGGAAATCCTTCTGCTACAGGTCAGCCTTAACCATACACCAGAGAACTCACACAGAAGAAAAGCCTTATAAGTGTAATGAATGTGACAAATCCTTCTGTATGAAGTCACACCTCACTGTGCATCAGAGAACTCACACAGGGAAAAACCCCTTTGGGTGTAGTGAATGTGGAAAGACGTTTTATGTGAAGTCAAATCTCATCAGTCATCAGAGGACTCACACAGGAGAGAAGCCATATGATTGTAATAGGTGTGGGAAGTCCTTTTGTAAGAAGTCAGCCCTCAAATCACATCAGTGGACACACACAGGGGAGAAACCCCATGAATGTACTGAATGCTGGAAAACTTTCTCCACAAAGTCAGCTCTCTCTAGTCATCAGATAATTCATACACGAGTAATACCATAAATCGTTACAGATGGGGATAGTCTGGTGTCAAGTCAAATTTTGTCATACCACAGAGAAGTCACAGGAGATACTTTATGAATGTAATTGTGTGAGAACCATTTTGGTGTAAATTGGCATCAGAAAAATGCAAGTTGTTGGAATTAGAGGACTCAGGATGCAAATATCAGAATTCATGTGGGGAGAGGGCCCTGAGAAAATCCTGCTACATTTTTTTGAAGGATTTATTTATTTATTTGAAAGAGTTACACAGGAGAGGCAGAGAGAGAGAGAGGTCTTCCATCCGATGGTACACTCCCCAATTGGCCACATTGGCTGGAGCTGCGCCGATCAGGAGCTAGGAGCTTCTTCTGGGTCTCCCATGTGGGTACAGGGGCCCAAGGATTTGGGTCATCTTCTGTTTTCCCAGGCCATAACAGAGAGCCAGAGTGGAAGTAGAGCAGACGGGACTCGAACCGGCGCCTATATGGGATGCCAACGCTTCAGGGCGTTAACTCGCTGTACCTCAGTGCTGGCCCCCATCCTGCTACATTTGATAGTATCCACCATCAAATAAGATTCATTTATCAGAAAAATCATGGGGGAAAGGCAGTATTAAAGCATTTATAAGGGGACAGGTTACTGTACACCACGTAATTGATATAAATGTTTGATATAAATAATTGATATAAGTGTTTATATGCTTGAAAGCTTTCTTGAAAAAAATCTTACATAAGCAAAGAATCAGGAGATATATAATACTAGAGCTTGTGTTTCAGATGTGGTACCAAACTTTGACAATACGACTCAAGATGAACCTTTTGAAAAGCAAGTTGCAGCAGGAAGCTGACAGGCACTTGAAGAGCACCTGAAGTAAGCTGGGGTTCTGTGTGTTAGGAGGCAACTCACGTATGTTGTGTAGGTTTGATTTGTATAATGGAACTCAGCATAGTTTGCAGGACTTATATCTCCATAGCTTAATAACTTATGGCATATTTTTCCACACTAAATGCCACCAGTGTTTCTTTTTATTTTTTAAAAATATTTATTTGAAAGGCAGAGTTGCAGAGAGGCAGGTGGAGAGAGAGAGATCTTCCATCCGCTGGTTTACTTCCCAAATGGCTTCAATTGCCTGATCTGGGCCAGTCCGAAGCCAGAAGCCTCTTAAAGGTGTCCCATGTGGCTAGAGGATCCCAAGGACTTGGACCATCTTCTGCTGCTTTCCCAGGCCATAGCAGAGCTGAATCGGAAGTGGAGCAGCCAGGTCTCGAACCATTACCCATATGGGATGCCGGCACTGCAGGCAACGGCTTTACCCACTATGCCACAGCTCTGGCCCCTCTTTGTATCTTAATAGTACAATATACATAGGTGATGTGTTTGTTTGACAAACTTGACGTACTGTGCCAGAATACAGTGTTTAATGAGAGAAACAGAGTATATAGTGTGTTACATTTTGTGTAAGAATTTAGGGAACTAAGTTTATATTTTGCATACTTATGCAAATAAGAGTAAACTACAAAGTACAACCTAGAATTATAAAATACATACCAGAAAGTGAAAATCTGTGGAGACGGGAACATACTTGGTGATCTGACTAGGAATGGAAGCAAAGCAGCCTTGAATACTTTTTAGGAAGTTTTGACTTTGAATTATTTTACATATTAAAAGAAAAGCAGGTTTTTTTTTTAACTGGATATTTTTTATTCACACTAATGAAATATTCAGTGGAATAAGGCAAGTAAAAAATTTACCATCTTACATATCATTTTAGTTTTTTCTCAATATTATCATTGTGTAGTCCTTTCACATTTTCAGGAACATTCCTATCCCACTGCTTTGTTACTGTATCTTACAAAAACAAAGAAACATAAGGCTTTTTAACTTATTCAAAAACACCAAAATGTAGTCTTAAACATGACAAACAGCAATAAGTTGTGATCCATGACATTAAGAAACTTAGATTGTGAATCAATATAAGTTCTCAATTAAAAGGGGTAACATTTGAAAAATAACAGAAGAAATATAACTTCAAGTTATTTACGTAACACAGGAAAAAACAGACCATATATATATATATATATATATATATTTTGCCTCCTCCCTTCACTAGTTTGCACCACTTAGAGATTTGATTACCCTCTTCAAACAAAATGAAAAATCTACCTCAGTCTATTTAGATGTGGGAGGATCTGGGGTACTTCACTTGAGAACTTACCCTCGAGCTGGCAACAACTATAGTCCTATGTGCAGCTTCTTCTACTGCTCTCACTTGCTCATCTCTTAAAGCCTCATCATAGAGACGACGAAAGCAGTGAGGGACAGTATCATTGATCTTGACCAAAAACTCAAGGACTTTCATCTTGCTAGTTTCACCATGGGCTCTGGGACCCCAGAGAAACCATAAGTTGGAGGATCAGTATTCAAAACCTGACGGTACTCCAGGTACTGTTCATGCACCAAATCTTTGGTGATGAGCTTCCAGGGCTCCCCAAAGATTAAGTGCCTCCTCCCAGCATATATCCCCAGTGCATTCAAAACTCCCACATCTCCTTCTCTGTGACACGGTTGCCCTTCATAAAGATCACGCCCAGGAGTGTCATCACTAGTCCCGTCTTAGGAAATTCCCTCATACCACTCAGCCTACCCTCAGTGGAGAGGCTTAGCTTGCTGACAAGGACATAGGAGTGACTATTGCATTTATCTACCTTCAAGTAAAGGCCAAAGACCAGTTCAACATGCTCTGAAGTTCTCCTGAAGATTTCTGGGAAATGCTCCTTATACTTTTTGTTGACAACCTTCAGCATGCCTGCCTGTGTAATGGTCTCTTGTTTTCTATATTTCTCAAGAAAGAACTTCACAAACTGATTTATCTCCAGGGACAGTGGATCTATGACTGAGGTCTGAACAGAAGCTGCCTCCTTGAAGATTATATTAGTCCCATCTTCCACAACTACATCAGAGCTTGGATCAGAAACACCTGCAACTGGGGAGCTAGAGGATGGACATCCCAGAGGTATTTGGGAACTGCAAGGTACAGGAGAGCCTAGGAGAGCACCCACACTAACAGGACCTGAAGGAGCAGAGAAAGAGGCTCTCTCTTCCTCTGCTACAAAGGCCTGGGCAGCCATGGAATGGTAGGTCATACTGAGAGTCTTCTGGTCCTTCTCAGGAGCACCAAACTCACTCTTCTGTTCCTGAGACATGGCCACAGTCAGCCACATGTGGGAGAGTAGGCAGAGGAGCTGGCAAGGAAGGCACCTGATAGATAGCCCCAGAAATTAAGTGTGGACTTCTCTGGTCCCACGTGGCTGGGTGCTCCAAAACTGGTAAGACTTGTGACATCGCTTCAGCTTTCTAGCAGCCACACGTTTCATGGCTGGGTCTCCTCCCCAATATCCTTTGGGGCCAAAAAGCAGGTTTTGAAATTGAAGTTAAAAAATAACAATCACACAGAAAAGGTAATTCTTTCAGTTGACTTTTGGACATAGTGTTATGACTACATCCTCAGTGGGATGTTTCTCAGGACAAAAAAATTTGTTAGAAGTCACTCATTAACTTCTATGTTAGTAATATTGCTGTGATTTTGAAGCTGTTTTGTCAAGTAGGATAAACAAAAAGAAATTTGCAATTAACTAGGAACCTAAAATTCTCAGTTTAAGCGGTGACTGTAAAAATTATTCAGGTCCAGTTCTCCATAATGATAAATATGAATTGAAATATCATTATTTAAAATATGTATAGATTTCCTGGTCTGTTCACTGAGAGGGCCTAGAAACAGCACCCCCGTAATGATAAGCATATTCAGTCTCCTACATTTTCTTTTTTTTTTAAATTTATTTATTTATTAGAGTTACAGAGAGTGAGAGAGAGGTTGTCAATCCTCTGGTTCACTCCCCAGATTGCTTCAGTGACTAGAGCTGTGCTGATCTGAAGCCAGGAGCCAGGAGCTTCCTCTGGGTCTCCCACACGGGTGCAGGGGCCAAGCACTTGGGCCATCTGCTGCTGTTGCTGCTTTGCCAGGCGCATTAGCAAGGAGCTGAATTGGAAGTGGAGCAGCCAGGACTCAAACCAGTGCCCATATGGGATGCTGGCACTGCAGGTGGTGGCTTTACCCGCTTCACCATAGTGCCAGCCTCTCCTACATTTTCAGTAACTCCTTGGTGAAATAGCTGATCTAGGTTGTGAAGTGACCGAAGTGAGCCTGGGGCCTCTGGACCAGAAGCCAAAGAAGGGTGATGTGTGAGTGGACACAGAGTTGAAAGAGGCTTCAAAGTTGGCCAAATTTGAGGTGATTTAATAATAAAATAATGACTATCCGATTGTACTATTTTGAATAAACCAAAATCTGAGTCCACAATGATGCAAAAAAGAGGGCCTACAGTAATTTCAACTTGGGAGGCAAATCTTGCACAGATTCCTTACACTGGTTGAGTGGAGAGAATAAGGTTTTTACTGATTTTTTTTTTAAGTTTAAATTTATTTGAAAGGCAGAGGGTGAGAAAGAGTTTCCATCTGCTGGTTCACTCCCCAAATGCCAAAAACAGCCAGAGCTAGGCCACGTTGGAGCCAGGTCTATGTTGGTCTCTAGTATAACCCAAGTTACAGAGCCCTCCAGGTGCATTAGCAGGAAGGTGGATCAGAGGCACGGAGTAGCCGGGACTTGAGCCACGCATTCCAGTATGGGACGCAGGTGTCTCAAGTGATGGCTTAACCCACTGCAGCATAACTCTTGCTCCACCCTGTTCTTTTAGTAGGAGAAGTCCAACTCTCCTTGTGGAAGCTGTTGCAGTGCCTGCTAATACGTGTGGAAAGAGTGATAAAATTTGACAAATCACTGCTGGGGCCAACACAGTGGCATAGTGGGCTAAGCCTCTGCTGGCATCCCGTGTGGGCACTGGTTCCTGTCCTGGCTGCTGCTCTTCCTATCCAGCTCTCTGCTATGTCCTGGGAAAGCAGTAGAGGATCTGGAAACCTGGAAGAAGCTCCTGGCTTCGGGTTAGCTCAGCTCTGGCCCTTGAGGCCATTTCAGGAGTGAACCAGTGGATGAAAGACCTCTGTGTCTATCTGTCTTTCTCTGTAACTCTGCCTCTCAAATAAAATCTTTAAAAAAAAAAAAAACTGCATTTAGACAAGACTCATTAATGTATGCTAAAGCCATTAGGTGAAACAGAAGCACGATACTCATGTAGTGCCACAGTATCACCCACAGATATTTTCCTGTAATTTAAGGGCTACCTTTATAAATGATTGACCCCACTGTTTACCTATGTGATCAATGTAGCATTCTTAGTGGTAGTGACATTATGTGCCTTTTGAGATGCAGTACAGAATAGTTTGTTGCACGGTTAAGCGTTCCTGCCAAGTTATTTCATATGAACCTAATCAAGTGTTCTGACTTCACTTAATTTTCAGAAAATACAGTAGAGCAACAAATACATTTGGGAAAGCAAATCAGACAAAACTAGGATGTAGGATATTTACATAACAACTGGCCTGTCTCTTCTAAAAGTCAGTGTTGTTTTTATTTTTTTTTAAAGATTTATTTTGTTTATTTGACAGAGTTACAGGGAAAGAGAGGTAGACACAGAGAGAAGGAGAGCTCTTCTGTTTACCAGCTTACTCCCCAAATGGCTGGAGCTGAGCTGATCCAAAATCAGGAGCCAGGAGCCTCCTCTAGGTCTCCCACACGGGTGGGCCATCCTCCGCTATCTTCCCAGGCACATCAGCAGAGAGCTGGATCAGAATTGGAGCAGCTGGGACTTGAACTGGTACCCATATGGGAGGCTTGCACTGCAGGCCGGGGCTCCAACCCACAGTGCCACAGCACCAGCTCCTGTCATTGTTTTTAAAATGAAAAGCTAGCCTGAACCTTGATTGAATATAAAATATACATGGCTCAAAAAGACATCGATATATACATATTTTGGGGGCAGTTGGAGGAATTTGAAAAAGTAATGGATATTAGACAGTATTAGATAACTAGGGTTACTTAAGTTTGTTTATTGAAGTTATAAATGTTAGTGCCTTTCTAGGACACACGGGCTGAATCTTGAGTTTTCATATTTGCAGCTTCGAAGTGGTTTTGGGAAAATGCATACATAAGAAGAAGCAAAAATGGCAGAATTGTAGCAAGTGTTGAACTTAGTGATAGTTCACTTTTTAAAAAGATATCTTTTTGAGAAATTCTGTAATAAAATGAGGAAATACCATACCACTATCTTACTGTTTCTTGGTATGTACGAAAATTATGCCCCTTGTTACTAATTGCCCTTTTTTTAACTTTTATTTAATGAATATAGATTTCCAAAGTACAGCTTATGGACTACATTGGCTTCCCCCCACCCCCCGATGACTTCCCTCCCACCCGCAACCCTCCCCTTTCCCACTCTCTCTCCCCTTCCATTCATATCACGATTCATTTTCAATTTTCTATATATACAGAAGATCAGTTTAGTATACATTAAGTAAAGATTTCAACAGTTTGCACCCACATAGAAACACAAAGTGAAAAATACTGTTTGAGTACTCGTTATAGCATTAAATCTCAATGTACTAATTGCCCATTAAGCAAGCCAACAATGCCTTTTAAAAAAATGTTCTATTGAAATCTAGGATTTAGCCAGGTTAATAAGAACATGTGCAGAACATAAGAAGATACTCCATTATTAATACAATCTTGTGTTAATGAATTGCAAAGAGTGTTCGTTACACTCTGACAATGAAAATAGTGTATTGTATAGAAACACTGCTGGTGTAGCTCACTGTGCTGCAGTGGCAGTGTGAAGCCCAAGTGACGGGAACCCAGGAATTCCTTGCATATGGGTGACCCATGTGGGGCCCTGATTCCTTCTCCCCTTTCACCTGGACTTCCTTGCAGCAGCTTGGCAGCCTGCTCTCTGTGCCTTCATGCTGCAGCGCCTTCATGAGGCCTGGTGTTCCCTTCCTTACCCAGGGTTTGCCCTTGGCTGTGGCCCAGCGCCAGCCGTAGGGTGGCTAATGAAGTATTCTGTTTGGGGAGAGGTTTCCACATTGATCAGCAGACACGGTCAGAATGGCACTGGTCATCTGAGTTTTCCCACTGGTTGCATCTTGGGACTTGGGTGTGGAAGGCTGAGCCTGGCAAGCTGTGGTGGAAACGGTTGGCACTGACAGTGCAGAGCTGGCCCGGGTGCTGCTCTGTCTCGAAGACTTGAAGTCCTTGACTTTTCTCACTGCTTAAGCCTGCTGGAGTTG